TTACAGAGATGAAGACATGATCAGTATTGGCAGCATGCTGAGTTTGAATGAAATTGGTAGTGTCAGAGACTTTGACATTGAGCCCCAAATAGCCACGCCCCAACCAGTGCGCAGCCACAAGCGCTCCTTGTCTGGAGGCAATTCTCTTCCAAGAGCTAAATGTAAATACTTTAGACATTACGTTTAAGCCATTCTTCACATTTTCCACCATCCACCAATGTACCACAGCAATGAATCTTTTTTCTCTATTTATCAGTGCRAAGATAGTGACAAGTGAGGGCCCACACAAAAGCCCAAAATGAATTGGACAGTAAAAACGTCTTTCAGCTTAAAACCAAGCCAAGACATCTTCTGTTGTCTCACTGTTTTTCCTCTAACCATAGCAAATTTGTACTATAGACTATAGTTTTGCACAATAGTACCATTATTAGTGACAGGCAAATTTTTTCAAGCTTTTTCCAATGTGCCTCCCCCCTCCTCCCCCCACTCAAAAAAATCAATTCTCTCAGTGCGCCTGGTCTAACTACAATATCATTAACATCATATTTTCTGCTAATTTCCAAAGCATTTACCAAAAAAGACTTACCCGCAATAACCGATGATGATGAAAGCATGCCACCAGTGCAATTGAAGAGGACAAGATCTAAATCGACCACACCAGCAAATGACAAGTATAACGTGTCAAATATGAGAGATACTTACATAGTTGACAGACGGTATGTGTAACAGTTCAAAGCTATGAGAATTTCTTTTTTGTGGCAAATGCTTTGAGTAGTGGTAATTATGTTTTGACAAGTTGATAAAATTACAGACAATTTTTATTGTCTTCTTTGTAGATAGAGTGTTTGTATCTGCTGAATAAAAGAATTTGTTATATAGATGGTTTCTAACGCACGCTCTGATTGGCCAATCGCTTTCAGCTCGTGCTTCTTGACATTTTCTCGTGTTTTTCAAATACCAAGTGTGCATTTATCAGAGTATAAACCACGGCTGAGCCTTATTTATTTGTTCAATATTGCATGCTTTCGAGGTTGAGGCTGCAGAAATAAGATCTCGAAACTGGAGTATTTTGATCCTTTACGAATACTGAGTGTATTCACACTATTTCATTGTTGAACAGCTCTACCAGCACACACCTTTTCCATTTCCCAAGGGTGTTCGCTTACGAGAGATTCAGTTACATTATATTATTGTTGTTATTATTGCTTATTATTATCATCATTATCGTTGTACAGGTTGAGTAGTGCATCACAGGTTTCCATGGAGTCAGATGACACTGATACCTGGGTATGTTTAACTATAGTTAGCAAAGTTCATAAATCAACCACAGTTTGTCTCAGTTTTTGTTGTTGTTGTTTTATAGGATGTTATCAAAGATATGGGCAAGGCAGAGGGTGACCTGATTCGTAAGTTTGATACCCAAAGCTTGCAAATAACTGCGCATTTTTCATTAAGCAAAATGAAAGCAGCTGTAGGACTCCTCTCACTTTTTATGTCAACAAAAGTTGTCCATATGTGGCAAGCTTAAGATTGCGTTACATCCATATTTGGCAATTGCGTGAGCGATCACGTTTGTAAGGTGCGCGTTTTACGCAAGTAAATCAGTTCTGCTCCAGATTCGGTCATGTTTGGTTGTGTTAGTTTTCTCTCTTTTTCTCCATCAACTTTTAAAGTGAACCTAAAGCAAAAAACTACTACATCATTTCCWCCCCGTCACACATAATTTCTTTGCAAAAATGCAAGTAGTTGTGCTAATTCTGTAAAAGATGGGACTGTTTTCATATACATGTATATAAAACGTAAGAGTATATGTAGCATCTTTAGCTGCAGCTCATTGTCTATTGCTTGCACATTTAGTGTCTTTTTAGCTTGGGATCGGTCCGATCCCTATGCGAAGTACAAAGTAGTCAGACCTGTSCTACATGCTTGTGTTTCAGAATGGTGTCGGAACTGTACACATGGCTAYAAAGGTGTGAAAATCAAGAAYACAACAACCTCATGGCGAGATGGAATGGCTTTTTGTGCCATTCTACATCATTTCCATCCAAATCTTATGTAAGTTTAAACTTGAAGCCTCCAATGTTAATGGTTGATCGCCATTGATTGATTGACTAATTGATTAATATATTTGATGGATCATTGATTGATTTGATTAATAGATCAATGGATGATGAATTGACTGACTGACGGATTGATTGAATGATCAATTGATTGATGGATTGATTGATTGATGGGTGGATGAATGGATTGATGGATGGATTGATTGATTGATTGATTGATTGATTGACTGATTAATATTATGTGTTTTTAGTGATTTTAATTCACTTGATCCTGAAAATATCAAGGAAAACAATAAGCTGGTAAGTCATTGTTGCGATATGCCATAAACCACATTATTATTATACAGAAAACATGATTTACATTATATTATTATACAGAAAACATTCCTTTGTTATTCTTTTTTACATGATTTAACCTTCCAGGCATTTGATGGCTTTGAAAAAGTCGGCATCAATCGTCTACTCGACCCAACAACAATGGCGATCACGTCAGTTCCTGATAAACTCTCCATGATAACGTATCTCTTTCAAATCAAAACTCATTTCACAAAACCAGAGACTCCAGCCTCGCATCGCAAACATAAAGCTTTTAAACTGTTCAGAAARCATGGKAGCTCTAGTGGCTCTCACAAGGGAAAAACAAAAGAACCAAAGCTTGATATTGTAAATATACGTGAAAGTATCGAAAATATCAACGAATCACCTGAAAGTCCTACGGACAAAAAMGATTATGACTTATCAAGAACTGTTGCTGATGAAAGTTACGGGAAGCGTAGTACTGGGTCGAGTCACGTGATTGTTGGTGATGACGTAACTGGTAACTCTGATTCCGCATTCAAGAAARATAATGAGATCGCCACAACTGAAAATGACGATGAAGCGAGGAGGAAATCCGGGTTCAATCCGTTTGATGACGAGGAAGAACAGGATGAAAATGAAGTCGAGATCAGTATTGTTGAAGAGAATGAGGACAAGCCAAAAAGYGCACTTTCTATCGAAGTAGACGCCAAAAGTAGCAAAACTGAGRGTAGTATAACACCTAGCRAAGCRTACAACCCTTTTGATGACGACGACGAGGATTCGCCCCAGTCCCCAACCAATCGACTTGCTGAAATTATCAGCGAAACTAAAGAAGGCTACAATCCTTTTGATAGTGAAAGTGATACTCCAAACAGCCCTACAGAAACAAAAACTAATGCTCAACCAACAGTTAACGCCACGACGAGYGAAGAGCGTGCTGGGTACAACCCATTTGATGACGATGATGACGACTTAGAGGTCGGAGAAACGCCGGCAGGTTCCGGTAAATCTTCGGATCCCCCTCGGGGATATAATCCATTCGACGACGATGAGGATGAACAGAACACACAAATACCTGCACAACCAGAAAAACCGGCTTTACGACGAACTCGCTTGACTGCTAGTGGAAGGAAGATTAAGCTTCCTGCTCCGAAACCAAGAGGTGCACCATATCGACCGAAMCAGGACAGCAAACCTAACGCGGTAAGATTGACACACAATATCACAAAAACATTGATGCATTTGTATAAACATAATATAATCACTCCGTGGCTGTAAATGTGTTTTTTTGTGATATGCTTTTTTTCCAGATCCCTGAATAGACCGAACAAAAACAAGCATATTTTATTGTGTGAAACACAAATTGTTTCAAAATACTGGCAGTATTTTTAAAGAATATATATAGGTGAAAATGGATTTTAACCCATGGAGACGTAAATATTTTATGATGTGGTCATCTATACATCGAGAAAGTGTATAATATCAGTTGTAAATATCRGWAAAGCATGGTGTTTTTTTGCAGCTGCCAAGGAAGACTACTACATCGCCACCACGKCAGAATGCAGAGCCAACTTCTCTGGTAAGTTTACTGTACTGTTGATTCCATTTCTCATGCCACCTAACTATTTGTTGTTGTTGTATTTGTATCAGACGTTTTACAAACACTATGACGGTTTTGCCCTTAATTCATTATAGTATTGATATGGACTAAATTTTTTTATCCAGATTTTATAATTTCATGTGGCAAGGTGTTTATAAACGAGGTCTCATAATATTGACTTTTTTTTAGGGATTTTCTCCCTCATATAAAAAGCATATCTCACGCTCTTATAAGWAGGCGTAATATTTCAATGATAAGATGCCACGACGTTTTAGATCATTCTGACCACATAGTCAAGTTAAAAGTATTGGGTTCAAAACTCATTAAAAGATCAACATGGCGGAGTTTTTGTGTGTGTGTGTGTGCTTATCAAGATATCATAAAGTAATACTTTCCAATGTCAAATTGTGAAACGTTTCCTTTTTGACTGGACACCATCTCTTTCTGATTTTCGTGAGTTTCTCGTTTCAGGCAAAGCGAAAACTTCCTCCAAACCCAAAACCCAGGCCCTCACGGCCGGCGCCCAGGCCTCCCGGCAGAGTGACCCAATCGACGGTCACACCGAACAACATTCCGACGTTTGACGAGTGGAAGAAAGCAAACGCCGCCCAGGGACATACGAGAGATCAGTCACCCGCTRGTAGAACCTCACTYAGTCCTAGTGGACTMGTTATAAACACTCGATCTGTCAGTCCGAGTGGGAGGACATTTCAATCTCGAAGACCTGCACCTAAACCGCCYGGAAAACTCCCTGAAAATGCCCAGGAAGACGAGAAAACTGGAGAAAACAAAGAAAACGTGAAAACTGAGACAACACCAGTAAAAGAGAAAATTGAAAAAACGGAAGAAAAAGGGGAAAGTGAAAAGACGCAAGAAAAGAGCACTATTTCAGATCAAGTTGACAGCGATGTWACACCAGTGAAAACTGAAGATAAAAAAGACGARAATATGGGAAATAAATTAGGRGGRAGTAAAGAGAAAATAAGCGAAAAAGACGAAACKCAASCYAAGCATRAAATTGAACTCMAAGAAARTGAAAAAAYGGATGAAATCGAAACAGTGAAAARTGAAAATGAARGAAAGGACAATGAGCAAGCCAAGGACAGCAACGYTGATATYAARGTMCTGGCTCGTCARGTTTTAATGGAAGCGCGGAAGAAAGCTGGGGCGAGTAGCTCTTTACCACGTGATAGRGTTGCRGTTTCTCCCACGCAGTCAACCACTGACTTGACTGATGGTACTGAGGGCTCATCWAMTGARAGYCCTCAAATATCAGACAAAGAGCAGCAAGAAGACAAAGATGGRTCCAGACGGCAGTCATTTGGTCCCAAACCAGCAAAACCACCAAAGCCAAGCTCACTGCGTGAAAAACTCAAGGTACAGTGTCTCACTGGTATGAATTTAATTGTGGCGGTTCGTTCCTTTGTTTGAGTTTTATTTGTGGAATTGATTGTTTCTTTTGTCAGGTTTTTGGGGTATTTTGTGTGCTCGTTTCTTAGCTAGTACTYTCATGCTTTAATTATGTTTTTTCTTGCTAATTTGCTTCGTTTCTYCCTTATTTTTCTCTTCCCTTCTTCTCTTTCTCTCTTCCGTGATTTCCTTTTCTTTTTGCTTTCTTTTAAGCTAAATGTKGCTTTACTTACTGCATGTTTGTGTTTATCTCATTTGTTTGTTATGATTCTTTATTCCKTAGGCTGAAACTGAACGTCAAAGTCGACTGACAACTAAAAGTCGAGAAAACCTGGAAGTCAGAAAGAAACGAGACATAGAGGTCTGTCTAGTTTAATTTTTGTATGTTATAATTTTATTTTCCTTTTTTTTTACCAAACTGCTTCCTGTTCCTCCCTCCACATCTTTTCCATCCTCTCTTTCTTTCTTCATCTCTTCTTTCTCTCTCACATTCTCCCTTCCGTTTCTTCACATTTCCTTCTCTTCTTCCTCCCTACTTCTCCCTCACATCCTACTTCTCTACTCCCTTCCCTCCTTCGTTTTTTCTTCATCCCTTCGTTCGTTCCTTTTTTGATATTTTTTTCTCTCTTTATGAACCACAGGTCAGTGARTCGAAACAGAGGCAGTCAWTATCAAAAGCAAACAGCCTCATTTCACACTCTCAACAGCGCGACCGTAAGAAAGAATCGTCYAACGAATYMTTGAGCACAGAACCAAAAGAGGAAATAGTGAGCGAAAAGAAAGAAACTGAGACGAAACTGGAACGAAAATCTAGCCATGTCATGGAACACAGGCCATTAAAATTCAAATTTCAAAAGGAGAAAGATCAAGGTAGTTCTGAATCCWTAGAAAAGCCTGAAAAATACGAAGAGAGTGATAATATAAAGAGGCTCCGAGCCGTGTTAAACGAAGGGAAAGATAGCAAAGATAGTGAAGAATCAGGAACAGAGTCYGAGAAAGCAGTGTCCAAAACATCTCCCGATGAAAGCGAGTCTCCACCGCCAACTCCGCCGCGAAGAACTAGTCTATCTTATCAACAAAGAAGGCGAAATAGACTKTCTAGCTCAGGAAGTGATTCCAGTAACAAAAGCACCAATCTAAGTGATAAGAAAAGAGACGCCTCAAAACCTAAGGATATACCAAATAAGCCACCACAGGGGTCCTCTGAGGAAGGCGTGGTTGGCAGCCCCTCCCCCAGTAAAAAGGGGTACCTCAGCCGAGCCGCGGCTGCTCAGAAATATGCTGATTCAAGAAAAATGAAATTTGATGACTTTGAGCTTCCTGTTACATCACCCCCGACCCAGCCTCCACCTAAGCCACCTCGGACAATGGTGTACGAGGGCGAGAATGAGAATGGTGACGGTAAGCAAAGGTCTACAGTATTGAGTTGTATCCACAGTATTACTTTTTTTCTGGTGCACTCAAAAAGGTTGATGGGCCTTCTGTTCATTCAACGCTAGCAAACTTCCCATCAATCATTTCGCGGATAAGAAGGAATGATTGGAAACGAGTTTGATATTGACTTTCAAAGATGCTTAGCTTATTATCGGGCAAAAAAGGGAGGAGGAAAAGATATCTCATCCCATTCCCGCATGATAGTGAGCGATGCCGGGCAGCAGGGTATGGAAGCTATTTCCAGGCCAATGTTTAGGATTCGAATGTGTTAAAACATTGGATAATAGTCTCCTTCACGGTTACCTGCGCCATCTTGAAAGGTAACCGTGCCTTTGCATCGAAGCGAGACAACCGTTGAGTGTGCAATGATAGAAACCTTCTTTCACACCTACAGACAATTATTCACAGGTTTCTATCATTGCACGCTCAACGGTTGTCTCGCTTCGATGTAAAGGCACGGCTACCTTTCAAGATGGCGCAGGTAACCGTGAAGGAGACTATNTAAGAAAAGAGACGCCTCAAAACCTAAGGATATACCAAATAAGCCACCACAGGGGTCCTCTGAGGAAGGTGTTGTTGGCAGCCCCTCCCCCAGTAAAAAGGGGTACCTCAGCCGAGCTGCGGCTGCTCAAAAATATGCTGAATCAAGAAAAATGAAATTTGATGACTTCGAGCTTCCTGTTACATCACCCCCGACCCAGCCTCCACCTAAGCCACCTCGGACAATGGTGTACGAGGGCGAGAATGAGAATGGTGAAGGTAAGCAAAGGTCTACAGTATCCATAGTATTACTTTTTTTTCTGGTGCACTCAAAAAGGTTGATGGGCCTTCTGTTCATTCAACGTTAGCTAAATTCCCATCAATCATTTCGCGGATAAGAAGGAGTAACCTGAAGCGGAAACCGGAAACGATTCTGATATTGACTTTAAAAATGTGTGATTTACCGTCCATAATTATCAATAACCATAGTAACATGCAATCTCCATTTTAGAGCCTCTTTTACAAGCGTAGTAAGTAAGCTGTTTTGGTGGAGTTTGGACAAAACGGGAGGGAAAAAGTTTATTTCTTATTTTTATCTCATCCCATTCCCCCAAGTGAGCGATGCCGGCCAGTAGGGCTTGGAAGCTATTTCCAGGTCAATGTTTAGGATTCGAATGTGTTGAAACATTGGATAATTGAAGGTTGACCAGTTAGGTGTCTTCTTTGATTCCTCAGTTGACAATGAAACGAATGAAAACGAAAAAAGGAAAGATGATTTCGTCGACGATCTTCAGGTTAGCATAATCACGACCCCCGCCATCTCGAACGATTGAATTTTATCTGATGTTATTGTAAGTTGTTGTTTTTTCCCTCAGAATCCTGTTGAAGATGAGCTTGAGAGATCCTTAGAAAGTGGTGATAGTTCGGTAAGTTGGGAGAAAAGAATCGGCTCTGTACGTCATACAAGACAAATCAATTAGTCTCTGATTGGAATACAAAGAGAGAAAAATAAATCTGTAGTTGGCCGTTTCCAATCGGACTAAACTTTACCACGCGCATCGTTATCATTGGACCATATGTTTTTTGTTGTAGTTATAGCAAAAGTATCTAAACATCAGCATTATCCCCCTATAATTTGACCTCAAAAACATATAAAATCCCTTCAGGATCTTCAAGACACTGCCGAGTATGTACAACAAGAACTACAGGCATTAGCAGCAGAACAGGAAGCTTTAGACAAAGTCGCTGCCAAGTTAGAAAAAGAACTTCGTGATGCTATGAAACGAAAAGGTTTGTGAGGACAGATTAGATYYTTTTACGACCGCCATCTTGAATAGCATTGTTGACCGACGCCATTTTGTGCAGCAAAGCATGATGGGAGTCTTAGTAATCGTGCTTTTTCTCTAATAAATGCAGTCCTCTTCGGTTTTTGCTTTTTCTCTGCGAAAGTAGAAGTATTTGGGCCGTTTTTACTACAAATTAAGCAAAACTGGCATTTTGGGAGATTTCTATTTTAGAAGAGATAAAAAATTCGAGGACTACAACTCCCGTCATGCTTTGCTGAAGAAAATGGCRTCGCTGCACATTGACTATTCGTTTGTTTTTCGTAAGAAATGAGGAATTCACTTTTATGTGCTATGATGTTTCAGGTTGTGAAGAAGAGGAGGAAAAACTCATGCAATCATGGTTTATACTTGTGAATAAAAAGAACGAGTTGGTTCGACGACAAACGGAGCTTAACATTCTGTGAGTTKACAATCTSACTCGCTTGCTTGCTTGCTTGATTMATTCATTCAGATTGATTCATTGATTGATTGCTTTACTTGTCAGTCCGTTAAATTATTAATTTGATTTATTATTACCAGTGAAAAAGAAGATGATTTAGAACGGCGATGTGAAATGTTGAACAGAGAGCTGCGAGGACTTATGTGCAAGGAAGGTTAGTTATCCATGACTTACGCAACGTATTCTTGCAGTACCTCCCCTCCCTCAGGCATGAATTTGTCCCTTGTCCTATCCCTTATTCATGCTTTCAAACTCTGCACTGCTCTCTTTCTTTCCCATTTTTTCGTTCTTTCRCCATTTCATTTCTTTTGTTTGCGTGTTAGAATGGGAAAAAACCGRCGATGACAAAGCACGAGAAGCCAGTTTACTGGAAGAATTAGTCGTTCTCGTCAACAAACGCGATCGCTTGGTACARCTTGAAGACACTCAAGTTCAGCAGTGAGTTTATTCAACATTTTATTAGCGAATAGAGTGCAAACGCTAAAACCAAATTTTAAAGTGATTAATTGTACAAAATTATGCAGATATTTTTGGTTTTTATTGTCTAATTKACACTATATTGCGCTGTTCAGGGCTATTTGGCGAGTACGTTTTCACGCTTTTAGTGTTTGAACCCTAATCACAAATGGATTCTTAAAAAAAATCGTGTTTCAGATCAGAATATGACTAAGAAACGCACAGAAGGGGATAAATATTAATACACTTCGACAACTCTACCTTTACTGATGAATTTACAYATAATATACTTATTTGTAGCTATTTTTGTAACCGTTTCTCATAAACAAACCTWTTTTCTTCAGAATGGAGAGAGACGAAAGACACATACAACAAGTCATACGGTCAGCTCAAGTATCTCGCGACAAAAGCGAATGCGTTCTTCAGTAGGAGGACTTACGTGAAAGTCAGTTACGTATACKTTGTGCTACGTCCTGTCTACTCTCTTACGTTCACRCCGAGTTGCGTGTTTCGTGCATTAATCCTTATCGATATCAAGGGAGCTGTTTTCGTTGCGTGCGTTACGTCTATGGGCTGGATC